CACACACACACACACACACACACACACACACACACACACACACACACGTGAAGTTACATCCTAAATATATAGATTGGATAATAACTGAAGATGCTCCTGTACTATGTATTTAATGTGTTTCTAAATAAAAGGAAGAGAAAGAACGTGTGGTTTTCATCCTTTGGATCAGTTGTTATTTAAAGAAGAGGTTAGAGATGCGTTCAGAAGAAGAGAAGAAGAAGAGCAGCTACATTTTGAAGTAGTTCTGAACTGGAGCAGTTCGATGATTCAGCATTTTAAAGGTCACGTTACCTCCTCCAGTTCAGCCACCTTCTCCTGCAGGTCCACCCTGGCTGTGTACTCGTCCTCCCATCTACGAAACACACACAGAAAGCAGCGATGTTGTGATATATTGAGGATTAAGCAGATAAATCAGCACTTTGTAGTAGAAGAACAGAGTCAAATGATCACATAATATTCAGACTATTTCTACGTCTTTGTCTTTCTTCCTTTGTTATCTTTGGTGACTTCTACACCAATGGGAGATGCAACGCTAATCTAAATCGTCAAAGACAATTACAACCTCAGTGAATGATAACTGAAGGTCTGGCCTCATATCCACTTCATGTGGTCAGTATAAAATGAGTGAATCCGTACTTTAGTGATACTCTGACGTTTCCTCCTCAGGGCAGAATTTAAACTATTTCATCCTTTCAGTGCATGAAACGAAACCTTTAAAACTAAATCACCAAACTCCTGTCAGTCTCAGCTGTAACGCTGCATTAATGCCAACATCAGCACACTTACGATTACGTGGAAACATTCAAAGTCAGACAGTGTAGGGTCTGACAAACTGAGTCTAAATGTCCTAAAAGGGCCACCGTACTCGGGAATCCTCTTTGATTAAAGCAACAACATGCTTTCCACCGGTGGCTCCCTCAGAACAGGCTTTTTTCAGAACGTTTTGTTTTCTGCTGCTTCTCCGACTTGATCCCAACTATTTGCAACTGTTTGAATGCGTCTGTCTTTGAACTGAGACATCAGATGTGTGTCCCGTGTGAGGAGGATGAAGAACACGGAGACACAGACGAGAGGCAGCAGAGACGGTCACAGCGAGGGAGCCGGCGTCCATGTTGCTCTCGTCTGTTTGTCAGTCTCAACACGTGGCTCTGCAGTGAGGCTGCCGGCTGCCATTGTGTTTTAGAGCGGCTACGCAGAAGCTGGTTTCTCTTTCACTACGGGGAGACCAGGCCGCTGCACTCATGAGCTGCAAACTAGGACGTAAATTCAAAATGTCCGACCTCCTGTTGTGTCTCTAACCAACAGTCAACTCTGACTTCCTTTCAGAAGGAGTGTTTAAATATTGTGTGATACAAACATTTACACACTTTCTTTGTCAGAGTTGATGAGAAGAATCTATACCACACTCAAAGTATAGAGGCGCTTAGCTTAGCTTAGCATAAAGACTGGGAGCAGAGGGAAACAGCTAGCCTGGCCTTGGCTCTCTACTCGCTGTTGAGTAAAGATTTAACAGACAAGATGCACGTGTTCCCTCTAATATTAAAGAGTAACTGTGTGGTGGCCGGCTCAGACAGCAACCTGGGTGACCTCGTTGTTTCTACAAGACGATGCTGTTGTTTAACACACACACACACACTCACACACTCTAAGACTCACTGCAGCCTCACAGTGCATCCATTACGAGGTGAGAGAGTATGCGAGAAAGCATTTAAGCTCGTTGAGACCATTTAAGTGTGTGTGTTTAAACTAGAGGGTCTGGGGCTGGTCTTCCTGGTCTTCCTGGTCTTGGGCTACGCTCCCTTTAAACCAGTGAAGGAGAATCTTCCTGCTGCAGCGTACAAAGATATTTTAGGAGGATAAAACAACTGGCCTGCAGAGAGCCCCGACCTCGACTCCATCCAACACCTCCGGGATGAAATTGAATGTCGACTGCAAGCAGGACTTCAGATGAACGCATGTGGTGTAACCTCCACATATGTTTGGCAACGTGTTTTCTAATAAAAAGGAAATGTGATAATACAGCCTCACTAAACTGAACAGAGCTGAGAGCGGAAGAGGGAAAATAAATCCAAAGACGGCGGTGTCGTTTGGGGATGAACTGATGTCGTTAATGGTGATGTCATTAATGATGATGTCAGCGTTTCGTCTGAGGCTGCAGAGGCTCACATGGGACAGAAGAGGGGAGGGGGGGAGAAGGTGTGTGTGCAGGACAGAAGGGCAGAGATGGATGATGATGAGTCAGCAAACATTTCACTAAAACAAAATAAAAACACAGAGCAAGACAGCATAAAGATGGAGAGAGAGAGGGAGATAGAGAGAGAGAAAGAGAGAGAAAGAGAGAAAGAGAGAGAAAGAGAGACAATGAGAGGGAGGCAGGGACAGAGAGGAGACTGGGTGACATCACTGCTGGCGGTCACCGGCCAGTGCTGCATTGCAGGTACCAGCTGGAAGGGGGGGGGGGGGGAAGAGGAGAATGAGGAGGAGGAAGAGGAGGAAGAGGACCAAGACAGCAAAGAGAGGAAGATGTGAGACAGCAGAATGAGGGAGATCACGTGAGAGGGTAAAACAACAGCTGATGTGAATCTTTCCCCAGACGACTCCTCCTCCCTTCAGAGGAATCGCAGCTCTTCTGCTTTGACCCTCATGACGAGCGTCGTCTCTGTAGAGCTGGAAGAGCTTCTGAGAAGTAAACAAGCTACAATCAAGGACAGTGAGGTCTTAAGAGAATCACAGAAATCATGTTTTCTTTTTTTCCATCAGCGAAGTGCAGTAGATGTCTTCAAATACTACAATACCCATGAGCCTTAGCTGCCACAGATAGCACAGAAGCACAAATAAAAGAGAATTAAGACAACATATAAGATTATAGATGTACCACACTAAGAGCCCTTCACTTTCACAATCTGACCGTCAACTGATTTAAATGCTGAATGTTTATTCTATAAAGGTTTGTAGTCTTTATATAAACTTTAACTTTAGCTGACTGTAGTCGACCTCTTCATGTCCACAAGCTTGTACCTCTGACATGTTAATAAAGGACTGAATATGTTCTAACACGGTTAGATCTTTTGTTTTGATGAGTCGAACAGGAAGGTTTTATATCATCCGCGCCTAGAAGTGCTCCTCAGTTAACATAGTTTATGAATGAATGCAGACTTTTACTTATGGAGAGCTGGACGTCACATATCAACCTCACAGAGTGGACAATACACACACATCCAACATTTAAACTTTATAACGTTTATAAAAAGTAGGTTTTGACCCTGAAGGTAAAGGAAACAGAAAGGAAATATTTTCAGAGGAGAACTTTCTTCAGTGCTGCAAGATTAGCAAAGTATAAAAACTACAAACATTAAAATAAAGCCTCGCTCCCCGTTACATCAAACTGCTGCCACAGCGTTAGTCAACTACTAAATCATTCAGCAACTGTTCTGATGATCAATTAACAGGTTTGAGGAAATCATTTTTGATTCCAGCTTCTTTAATGTGAATACTTTCTGCTTTCTTTACTCGTCTGTGACAGTAAACTGAATATCTTTGAGTCGTGGACAAAACAAGACATTTGAGGCTTCAGGAAACACCGACCAAACAACTAATCGAGAACACGATCAACAGATTATCCATTACTAAACTGATGTACATTTTACGATTGTGAATATAAATAAATCACATTAACAAAGCAAAAGCTGCTTAATTGGAGGAAATATCTGCACCACTTCTATCTCAAGCTCACGTGTTTCGTTTCGTGCAGCACTGAAATTTAAACGATAACGTTGTGAAATCGATGTGAGTGAAGCGTTGACGTCCTGCCTCAGCACAAAGTAGTGCGGTCGCTGCTTTTTAGCATAAAGCAGCAAAGACGGCGTGAAACAGGTCAGTGCTCCAAAAAACAGGCGCTGAGCAAAGAAAGAAAGAGAAGAGGTTTACACTTCAGACTAAAAGCTACAGGAAGCTGTAAATGAACAGATGTTTACTTATAACATCCTGCTCTGCACAAACTGTTTTCCTGAGGCTTTTATTTAATGCCGTTCTCATCATGTAAGCTCCTGCAAAAGGTCACAAATGTACAGTAAGATTATTTAGTTCAGATACTAAAAACACAATAACACAATATAGCAAACACAATATTTGGTTAAATGATTACTGTGTCATATGCAATATGCTGTAAAGTGAAATATGTCTGTTTTCCAGGTAATCTAGTGAACAACAGGTTCTCACAATGATGCAAAAATAAATGCATCGTGTGTTTTTATGACTTTGAGCTCTCAGTCATAGAGTTTGAATGCACTGTAAGTCACTTTGGATAAAATCATCTGCCAAATAAATGTTGTCTAATAAAAAAAATCAGCGATGATTTGCAGCACTGCGCTCACTGACCCCAAGCCAGCAGAGACATTAAAGCGATCGCTACCTCAGCAGAAACTGTTTCGGGGTTAAATTTTAAAAAAATCACTCAAGCTCAGTTATCATGTTTCAGCTTTTCAGAAATATATTGTGGAGAAGGAGCTCAAGCCTGGTGGATGAGGTTAAATACACTAAAGTACTGCTGGTACATGATTACTATAAAAGGTGTATTGTTGAGAGCTGGTGACCCAATTACCAAGCACCTCCTAATAAACTGGCAGCTGAGGATTTATGGTAAAAAGTATTTTTTTAGGCTTGTTTTACAAAATGTATTTTTTTAATTAATGATTTGAAGGAAAATGATTTGTTTACTTTATAACAAGGCAAAACTATTTAAAAAACATATCATATATTTATATATATTTTAAATATATATATATATACACACAGATTTAGTATTTATTTAATCTAATTGTATTTAATGTAATTTTGCCATATTGTGATACCAATATTCGTCAAATATTCTTATTTTTGTGATATTACAGTCATGGCTCATCATTACTGCCTTAAAAAGTTTCTCACTTTGAAAAGAATAAATCAGAATTCAGCCACTTGAATGTCAAAATGTTTGCATTGGAGTTGATGATCCATGTTAATAGTTTTAAGAAGCATGCAGGTATAAACGACTCTCACCTGATCTTGTACTCGTCGCGTTCTCTCTTCACCTTGGCCAGCACGTTGTACAGGGCCCGGATCTCAGGTGTGATGGTGTCGACCTGGACCCCGACACCGTCCGGCTGCGTCCAGGAGACTCCCGGGCCCGAGGCGCACGACTCCCTCCCGGTGCCAAACCGGCGGGTGTGGTTGAAGGACCAGATGGTCCCGGGGAGGAAACGCGGCGGGGTTTTGTTGGTGTTCGTCCCGGTGTTGGTGATGGTCTTGGACGGGTCGGTGGGACTCAGAGCCGGGCTGAGGGAGAAACCGGACGTGGTGAGGTTGGAGTTTGAATCCGTGGAGACCGGGTTGAGGTTGCTTCCCAGGTATTTGTTGTCATAAAGAGGAGGGTTCAGGGTTGGAGAGAGGAGGCCGCCGGGCAGGTAGGCCGAGCTGTTGACGTTGTGGAGCAGAATGAGACCCGGTCTGGCAGGAATAGGCCCAATGAATCCAGTCTGGACCCCAATATCTTTTGTCAGCGGCCTCTGGTGCTGTCCGTCCCCTCCACCGTTGTCCTCGAGCGCCTGCTGCAGCTGCTTCTCCAACACTTTGTTCCTGCGCTCCAGCTCGTGCACTTTGGCCAAAAAGCAGCGGAAGCGCAGGTTGAGCGTCTTCAGGACGCTGATGTTGGAGCCCAGGTCGTTGCGCAGCGCCGTGGCCGCAGGGGAGGGGGGCACCCCGCGGTGTAATAAAGGGTTGTGGTTGTTGCTCAGGTGCAGGTAGGCGAGGCCCGAGGGCGGGAGGGCGCCCAGGTCCAGCCCGGACCACCCATCTGGACCGAACCCACCGTGGTCCCCCAGGAAGTAGCCAGGCTCCAGGATTGCGGAGTCGTTCGTCATCTGATGTTGGTGCTGATGCTGCTGCTGCATGCTCGAATAGGAAAATCTGAAGTGCTCGAAATCCGGCATTAACCCAGACTTCTATACAGGCTATTCAACTCGGAAAAAGTATTCCGTTTACAACCTGATTATAGGAAGGAAACGGATCCAGGCCCACTTTGTTTTTGACTCCCCCCCTCTCTCTCCTAGATCCTCGCTATTAACACCTTTATGCAAAAAAAGAGCTGTGGGATAAGGCCTGGTGATGCTTCACGGGCCCAAAATCGCAGCAAAATAACAATCTCCCAATACAAGATTACAGTAAACCCTAATGACTATACGCTATGGCAAATATACAGTAAGACAATGTGCCTCTGAACTCGCAAACACACCGCTGGTCGCTGCAGCAAAACGAGATGACTGAGTTGACTTTCACGCAGGGATCAGTCGCGAGATCACAGAGGCGACGCGCACTATCATAAAAATGTCTATTCTAAGCGGTAGAATAAAGCGCTTAGGATATATTTTGCAGCTGTAATACAAAAATATAAGCACCGTACCTGGCAGTCAGAAGAGGAAACACTAACTTTGGCACTAGATGACGAGGTAAAATGAGTCTTAAGCAGAGGTGCTGCAGAGCTCACGGGTAAACACCAGTGAACTGACTGCGGCTTTCACATACCGTACTGACTGTTACAGAGGAGCACCGTGCAGTCCGCCCGGGCTACCGTACTGCCCGTTACAGAGGAGCACCGTGCAGTCCGCCTGGGCTACCGTACTGCCCGTTACAGAGGAGCACCGTGCAGTCCGCCTGGGTTAAACTTCCTGGATCAATTATATGGAGACTAACGTTACTCAATCCGAGGGTTTTTCCAATGCCTTTTAATTCACATTTCAAAACAAGAAATAAAAGGCAAATGTCCTCCTTTAACCCCCAAACGGTGTATTGCCGTTTGAATTAACGTTAGCTTTCCTGTGGTCTGGCTAGCTAACAGCTAACGCTAACTTAGCTAACTAATGCTAATTGGCTCCTCCCTCCCAGGTATTTATATTTATTCTATTTAGACATTTAAATATCCATTTATAGCATGGGGGCTACAACTCAATTTCATTGTGCAATCCTGTATTAAATGACAATAAAGCTTTGTTTCTTGCTGCATGACAGACGGATTAATGTAGATCACGGATGACGCAAATAGAAATACAGTGATGTTTCAGCATGTCAGCTGGCTGAATGTTCGGGTGATATTTTCGCCCTGACAAATTAGTGAATTAAAAGTGACGTGTAAACCACAAAGGGGGGCGTCTAACAGTCAGAGGAGGGGTGACACTGTCGTCGTTGATTAGAGGTAATTAAGAGAGACAAATGATTCATGCAACATTATCAGGAGTGACATGTCTCCCCAGAAAACTACAGTCCTCCCCCCCCCCTAACTCTCCTCTCTGGGGTTCAGTCTAATAATGTTGGACAAATTAACTATTTAATTACATTTTGGCCATTTTCCCAGAAATGTATTCCCTATTCTGCACAAAACTTCATGCAATTTGAATATAAAAACAGACCTGTTAGGTAGATTATTTCCACTAATCACAGTGAGTACAAACTACATCACAGTCTTTCCACAAACTAGAGGACTTTATTATCATGTTTAGTGCAACCAGACCGTTCAGTACAATACAGTTCAGTGATGGGGAAAAAAAAACCAAAAAAAAAAAAACCACCTCTTCAAACACTGCTTAGTGCGGACAGAGCACACGCCACGCATATCATATAAAAAGGTATTATAATCAGTATTTGTTGTCAGTTATCAGTTTGTCGTAGAGGATGTTTTGCTCCCGGGTAGCGGATGGCGCGGCTTCCATGTTACAGGTGAAGGAAGAGGGGAATCATGGGAAGGAAAATGAAAGAGGACTTCACTCCTTGGAGAACATGTGAAGGATCAGGTCGCACACGCGGGTGCTGTAGCCGTACTCATTGTCGTACCTGCAGACAAGCAGAGATATTTATGAATGGGAATAACTTGTAAAGCATGGTTTGTAGAGCAAATAAACATTTACATTTTTCAGAATTCAGTGCATAAATGTGCATGTTTTAAGGAATTGTTTACTAATAGAAAAAAATGCTCTTAAGTGTGCAGGAAAGGGAGATTTAATGGAGAAAAGAAAAATGGTGGCCATATTGTCAGCACAGACTTTAATAAAGAAGCAGTGACACTTTGTGAGCAAAACGTAGCTGCGTCTTCAATAAATGTTGCGTTTATTATAATTAAGACATTGTTCCCTGTAAAACTCTGCAAGTGTGATTTCTTGAATACTTTCCTGTCTGGTGTTTAAAGTGCTCTTTAGTGGGGGAACAACAACTGTAAACATGTGGAATGTCAGTTGTTTTCTCCGCTTACAGTTGAATAATTTGGTCATTCAAAATTTAATTCCATCATCCATTTCTCATCCATCCACTTTAGTCATATGAAGTATAATTTATTTAATTTTTGTAAAAATAAAGTTAGAAAAGTGACGTAGTTGCACAGCTATGAATACAAACCTTCATTTCTTTGTGTTTGTTATGATGAATATGGACTTTTTAAATTTGTATCTTTGAGGCACAGCTAACAAATCTGGAAGACCTTCCTCCTTCATTACAGTTTACATAAACTTTCATCCATGTTTGGTCTCAATCAGCCGATCAATGATCCCGCTACGCTGCGCGCCGTTAGCTCACCATGAAACCAGCTTGACGAAGTGCTCGTTGAGGGCAATGCCGGCGCCGGCGTCAAAGATGGAGGAGTGAGTGTCTCCGTTGAAGTCTGTGGACACAACCTGAGCAGAAAGAGGACCAAACACAACAGGTTCATACATGTAGAGGAGCAGCAGACAAATGTACAAAGTACAAACACCTGCAGATTTGGCTTCATGGGTTATAAATGCAGTTCATTTTTTCAGTTTAAAGATTCTTTACGAGTTATAATTTAAGTTATAATAGATGTGCTGCCATCTAGTGGCTCGTACTGGGCTCTACGCACACTCCCATAGAAAATGTTCTGTTCATATATAGGTCTAAAATTATACATGATGACTGTCTTGTTTCCATATGTTTTATTCTTTCTGTACCTGGTCCTCTGTGTATCCCAGAATTCCCTTCATGGGTCCCTCAGAAGCGGCCTTGATCACCTTCTTGATGTCGTCGTACTTGGCCTGAAAGGACGAGACATTTTAATTAAACGAGGATTTACGTCACAGACGGTAAACTGAGTTGTTAGGTTTTGAAAGGTTAAGAGACACTCACGGGCTTCTCCAGACGGACGGTCAGGTCAACCACAGAGACGTTGGGGGTGGGGACACGGAAAGCCATGCCGGTCAGTTTACTGTGAGAAGAAGAAACATCAACACACATTAGAAACAGATGATTTAAGGTGTGTTTTATTCCCTGTGATGATCTCTCCTCAAAGGGGGATATTAACACTGGACTTTAGGGCTGTCCGAAAGAAATACGTAGTACGATAAGACTGCAAAACTTTCCAAAAGGAGTCACACAAAAGCACCAGTTTAAATCTTTTGTATGCTAGAGTAAGTAAAAAAAAAAAAAAAGAAAAAAAAAAAAGAAGTAATTTAGCATGAAAAAAAGCACAATAAACGACTAATTGCAAACGCTAAATAAACCAACCGGGCGACGGTGAATCGTACCCGTTCAGCTCGGGGATGACTTTGCTGACAGCCTTGGCGGCTCCGGTGGAGGCGGGGATGATGTTCTGTGAGGCGCCGCGTCCGTCCCTCCACAGCTTACCGGAGGGACCGTCAACGGTCTTCTGCGTGGCGGTGATGGCGTGGACGGTGCTCTGGAGGAGAGGGAGCAGAATGATTCATTAGATCCATCTTTTATGTGTTGAATCAGATTGTTACGATTATATTGTGTGCGTGTGTGTGTTAGATAACGCCCTGCTGGCACTTTTGTTAACGAACCGTTCGATCAATAGACGACAGTATTGTAAAATATGGTTTTCTACATCTTTCATGAAATATTGTAGATATCTCTATCTAGTCTAGTCTATATCTTATGCCTTGTGGTTAAATATGGGTTGTGTATGTTTGTTTGTTTTAGTGTTCAAAATTAAATAAATAACAAATTCAAATAAATAAAAATACAGTATTGTACAAGATCAGTGCATCATATCTCACACATCTGCTCTAAACGCAACAAATAATCAGAAAACTGTTCTAACAAACCATCAAGTTAGTGAAAGAGTCAGCTGGTCTGATCGTTTTAGGTCTTCTTCAACACCAAGTATAAATAAATATAATTCACCTGAAGAATATGAGTCAACAAACCACAATCAAGTGATTCGTTTCAGCTTAATAAATGCATGTTTTTCTTAGTTTTGGCTGCTGGTCAGAGTAAGTACGCTTTTGTTAATATGAATGTATAACAAATCTTGAGTCGACAAACACAGCTGCTCAGTTCAAACCGAGCGTTTTAATAAAAAGTAAACTTTCCGACTTCTGGTCTTAAACGCTCTTTAATAACAGCGGTTTGAATGAATGAAGCGTCCGAGTTCTTTACCATGAGACCCTCAACGATGCCGAAGTTGTCGTTGATGACCTTGGCGATGGGAGCCAGGCAGTTGGTTGTGCAGGAAGCATTGCTATGAAGACAGTGACCACAGGTTACAAACCACACACAGTTACGGTGCTACTTTCATCAAAAGGTGTTTTAAGAGATGATCTCGGTTTGACATTTGTTTTGCAGAGCATTAAAAGGCATCCAGATGTTCTCATCCGTCTTCTCCAGCTTTGACGACACTTAACATGCTGCGTCGGAAATCTATAAACGCGACTCCTTCAGATCCAGAATCAGCAGCGACTCACCTCACCACCTTCAAGGAGTTGTCGTACTTCTCGTGGTTGACGCCCATGACGAACATCGGGGCGTCAGCACTGGGGGCGGAGATCAGCACCCTCTTGGCGCCGCCCTTCAGGTGAGCCTGGACGGGAAACGAGGAACGCAGTAATATTCATTACATTTTAAATGAAAAACAGAAATGACGTAGCTCTAAAATGCATCATCAAACCCTATATGTTATCATTTGTAGCTCCTTCATGCTCTAGAATCAAATAATGTATTACACTACAGTAGATTTTAAGAATAATACTATAATATTTATTCTAAATATAGAACTATAAGCATGTTTATGCCACTTTAACTAACTAACAAACATGTGAAAATGAAGTTAATCCTCTTATGTTTGATCAGTTCTCAACAGATTAAAACATATAATCTATGTTTTTTAGCTGAAACTGCCCGTTTCTTCTACTTAGAACTCACAGAGGCTTTCTCGATGGTGGTGAAAACACCGGTGGACTCCACGACGTATTCGGCAGCAGCGTCGCTCCACTTGATGTTGGCGGGGTCCTTCCTGTTTGATTACGTCAGAGAGGTTAAACTCTGCTGCGATCAGACTCGCAAGGTAGAAGAAAGATGTAAAAAGAATGTGACTGTAAAAAAAACAAAGTGCGCGTACTCGTGGAAGACCATGATGTGCATGCTGCCGATGACCAGCTTGCCGCCCTCGGCCTTCACCTCTCCGTGCTTCCACACGCCGTGAGTGGAGTCGTACTTGAACATGTAGACCTGCAGGAGGGGAAGAAGGGAAAGTAGAAGACACGAGTATTAACAACCGCATCTTACAAGAAAGGATCTGATGAGCCAAGAGCAGCGTCTTTAGTCAAAGTAGCTCCAACATGTAGCATCTCCAAAGGTTTCCAAACATTTATATTTGCTCTCTTCCTTCACTTAATGATTTAAAACCCCTCATTTTGTGACTCCTCAAAACCCAAAGATCATTTTGCAGATTCATCTTTCTAAACCTGCCTGTTTTTTACACTTAGCCATTAGTTTACAGCAGCGTGGTCGAACTACAACCTGGTTTTTTAATACAGATGTACAAAGACATACATGTGGTTTTCTGGTGTAGAAACAGTTTTTCTTGCAGTATAACTGATAGAAAATAACACATTCACTATGGTTTGGGCCTGTGACTCCTGATGTTCTTCTGTTTATGACCCACAATCTGAGACATTTGGCTTACGGGATCATACTTTCCCATATTTCACCAAAAATAAACTACTAAAAACAGTTTCTCTCAGAAGAAACAGGGAGAACAGGACGTCCTCTCACCATGTAGTCCAGATCGATGAAGGGGTCATTGATGGCCACCACCTCCAGCTTGCCTCCTGAGACGGCGGCGCGGGTCACCAGACGGCCGATACGTCCGAACCTGAGACGCAGGAGGAGAAGAGACACTCGGTGTGGAAAGACGCCATTTATTTCACAGTTTACAGAATTCAAACAAAGAGACAACCGCGCATGAAACATGGATTAAAGGTCATTTATATCAAGGAGCTCTAGAGGAGATGTTTTATCTGTAAAATCCCGACTTGTCTCTTTTAGTTCAGTGCGACTGCTTCTCGCCACACTTCCCCTCTCTGACCAGCAGGTGGCTCCAAGAGCCAAACTGAGTCCCAGTGGCGGACAGCAGGGCCATAGAAGGCCCGCGGCCCTTCACCGAAGATAACAATGGCTGGCTGCCGAGAGCCGGTTCTGCACCTAATATGGCAGCCGTCACGGTGGGTCGAACAGCAGACTTTCATTTTACATATCAACCACTTCGCTGGAAAGGAGGAGACAACTCTGATAATGAGAGCTCATCTAAGAGAGTGTGAGAGGAGACATGTAAGCAGCATAAAGGACCAGCGTGGTGAAGAAGCGTCCATGATAATCAAGCTGAACAGCAGGTAGAAGCAGCAGAGAGGGGGTTTAAGAGGTGCTGTTATGCAACGTCTCATGTCTCCAGGAGTCACATTACATACTGGCTGTAAGTTGTCAAGGGTCAGTTTCAACCCCCCCCAAGTCTATCTGAATAAAAGGTCAGGGTTCACCAGGAAATTAAAACCGCTCGCTGGAGGAGGAAGGTCTTTGCTACAATTCCATGTTCTTTATATCGAATACGGATACAAATGCTTTCCTATTTCTAACATAACTTTTAGAAAAGGGTTGTAGACGGGTTTTTCCTGAAAAGGCTGAGGTTCTACCAAGAACCATTTGATTCTGAAGAACCCTTTTTCTTTTCAAGGGTTACTTGTTAGACTAAGGGTTCCATTAAGAACCCTTTTCATCCCAAAAATAACTTGAAGAAAGAAATCTTCAAATTCAAAAGGGGTTTTCAGTAGAACACCTTGAGGAGGGCTCTAGATGCATTCCTTGGATTATAAAAAGGGTATTTGGTAGAGCTCTTTGTGTGGGTTCTAGATATAACCCGTGAATTCTAAAAGGTTTTCTGTACGATGTCCTGGGTGAGTTCTAGATGAAACACTTGGAAAATAAAGGGGTTATCGGTAGAACCCCCTGGTTTGGTTCTTGTTAGCTACATTAGAAGGTGGAAAGGTTCTGGATAGAACCACTGAGGGTTCTGGGTGGAACCATTACGCCAGACATGAGTTCTCTATCGAACCTCTCATATGTTGGGTTCTAGGTCGGACCATCTGAAAATGTTCCACGAGGAACCAGAAAGGGTTCTCCTATTAGGACAAACTGAAGAACCCTACATGGTTCTAGTGAATTATCTGAGAGGTTTAAACTCGCAGTCTCTCAAGATTTAGGAATGTCAAAAAGTGGGGAACAAAAACAAAAATCGGACACATTAGTGTCAACAATATAAGACTGCAGGTTGAGAACATAGAGAAACCTTTACTGTGTATTTGAACCACACTGACTCCACACTGCAGAGCCAGGGGCTGCCCTGCCTTGCTCAAGAGCAGAGCGACCAACTTGCATCCAAAGAAATGATTCAACCATAAAACCTCACTGTCTACATTTCTGCCTTCCTTCACAGGAGGAATGGGCATAAGAGGCTCACTCTGTTGGCTTTGGGAAGCCACCAAAACAGCCAGAAGGCCAAAATGGATCTGAGCCCGTCTTCTGTTTCTGGGGCTCACAGTTGGTTTCGATACGAGGGCCAGAAATAAGAGGAGCTAAATCTCCCAGCAGGCTCGACAGCAGCTGCTTCTTTACAGAGGAGGAGAAATTATAACACTGGGGGTCTCACAGTACGATCTCTGAAAGTCGGCGGAAAAGGTTAGAGGGTTAAAAATAGACGAGGGGAGAATAAAAGGAATGTGACAGCTGAGGAGACTATAAATAAACCAGAGAAAGACGGGTCCCGTCCAGAGACCTGTCCCACCAACAACCACATTCAGACAAAGAAAGAGCCCCAAATAAACAGGAAATAGGTTATTTTAAGGAATATTGTGGAGGAGATTGTCAGATAATTAACATTTATGCATCTTTATATATTTTATGTTGCGTTCAATTCATTTGTGATTCAAGATTATTCCTTGGATGCATTTTAGGGTTCAGTGTCTTGTTTAAGGACACTTTACATTTATCTAATTTTGTTAATTTAATGCATTTAGTGTGACTTCCACTCATGGTTTTAAGGCTTTAATACTGTACTGTCAAGTAGAGCTGCAACTAACGATTATTTAAAATTAATTTATTAATGTGCTGATTATTTTTACGATCAATAATTGTAATAAGAAGAATTTAGTTCACAAAATGTGAGGAGATGCTTAAAATTCACATTTTTCCAGAACCAATGGTGACATATTCAAGGTGCTTGTGTCCAAAACTCATTTTAATAACTCGTATAATAAATATCCACATTTCATCCAGGATATGGAGAAACGTTTTAGTTCTTTTTAAATAAGGAAGCAGCAGCTAAAAGCCTGATATTTGTGTTTAATTTTAAGAATACTCTGACTCTGACTTAAACCTGAATAAAAGTCAACTCACCCGTTGATTCCAATCTTCACCATTTTGCCTGATATGTTCTAGTCCTCACTGGAAGGGAAAGATATAAGACACAATGCATGTTTAAGCATCATCTTTGCATCATGCAAAAGTATGAAGATGCAACAATAAATACAAGCACTCATAATTACAAGACTAAAACCTTGAATACAAATGCAAAAAATCTAAAAGTTGTAAAAGCAGCATGCAGATCAATTAGAAGACAAAAGGAATTCTGAGATGATATCCACAAAAAGTACATTTTTTTGACAGTTTGTTGCATAAAAAAACAGAACAAAACTCTCAAAATTCAAATGTTAATCGACTGAAAATGAGTTTGGTGAATAAAGTACCGTTTGTGAAGTCTGTCCTCGCGGGGGGAGAAGTGAAAGCGGGGGACGATCTCGAGGAGTCACTGCTATTTATTCCCAGCGCGCGACCGCCGGACACGCCCTCTCCCACCCCCTCGCTCGTCAGAATGTCAAGGTCGCGTGCAGCTGCCTGTCAATCAACGAGTCACGAGGTCTACAGGAGAGAGGGATACAAAAGACCTGAATTAATTTTGAACAAATTATTTATTTTATTTCGACAGTATGTGACACATTATGACCTTTTTTATTTACTGTAGAATACTAAAACATCCGCCAACAAAGGTAGTTCCAGCGCAGGGGGATACACAATGTGGTTGCTGAGCGACATGACGAAGCGGCACAAACTAACCCGGAAGTGATTTTTAGATTTAAAAAAAATAAAAAAGTGATTTCTATGAAAATAAAGACGATATTTAACACATTCCTCTTACAAACTAAAGGCTTAATTCAAACTGCCCTTGTTTAGATGTTGTTGTTTAAATAACATCAGTGTAATAAATACAGTTCGCATCCACCTATCTATCTATAACATAACAGGCTCTGCACTATTTTTCTATCTTTACTGACAGGCAAACGGTGTCACTGCTTTATGTACTTATTACTTTATTTCATCATATCTTAATCACATTTTTATATTCAACCGCAGACGTCCATCTTTGTAGCTGCATTGTTCTCACAAACTCACCATTTAGCATCAAGCACCCGGTTTGTTTTAGTGCCACTGATGAAGAAATAAAAGCTCTTGACTTACATTAATCACTAAACACAGAGTTTGAAATCAGAGGCCTTTCAGTGTACATTAGAGAGAATGCAGGTATCAGACACTTCAGCTTCGGCTTCACTTTTCAGAACCCTAAGTGTCCGCCTGGAAACACTTGACACAACATCGATCTTCAAAACTAATTCATAAACAATCGGAATATTCATTTTTTTATCTCAGCAAAACCAAATAATGACAAAGACAAATGTCGTTGGTTGAGAGCCGTGTGTATCTGAAAGCTCCTTGTGTCCAAGTCTGTTCTTGGCTAATCAGTCTGCAGGCCATGATCTCCACACATAGCAACTCACATCCATTATATCGTGTCGACATGCTGTTCAAACACAATGGTGCAACATCTGTCCAGTCTATTAATGATGGTGTGTGCTGCACAGTTTATTAAGCAACATAATTAATGAGGCCTTATGTGAATTGGGTCTCGATGGTTTTGGAAACACTGCTCGAGTGAATATTTGTGTCAGCAGGAAGGTGAATGAGGGATTAAGTCTATAAATAGAAGAATATAGAGTAATCCCAGAGTTACGTAACACGAATCATGTGTGGGATCCGAATACTCACAATGATCGGGGGCTCGACGGACATACAGTTCTTTAAGTCAGCCAGCGCAGGTTGAAGTAAAGGTCGGCCTATAAATATGAGGCCCGACCTTCTCATGCACCGAGCCTGAGCTCTCTATATACGGCCTCGCTATGTCAAAGGGTTGTGACATTTGGCAAGACGACACGGTGAGCCGGGGCGCCGCCGTTCAGGGAGGTCAGAGGTTGACTCAGTCCAGAAGGTCTCGGAAAAAAAACAAAATGTGACCGACGATTAGTTTTGGATGTTTGAATGAGACAAAAAGAAGATAAGAGGCGTGTGGTTATGGTGCAACGCTGTGCAAACCTGGAGGAATGCATTGTGATCGGTCGGGGCCCGCATTTTCAGCTGCACTGATAATTTTCCATTCATGATCCACTATAACCGTTCTCTATCAGGAAATAGGGAAACAGAGGGAACCTGGTTGCAACAGCTGGCTGGTGACTCAAGTCTGGCCCTCTCCTCTCCTGTGTGATATTTGTCTTTTCTGCCTCTCAGAACCTGTTGGTTTGTGGGTTTTTAATATTTTTTAATACTTTTTTTTATGACTTCTAATGAAGTCAGAGCTCTTCCATCATCATATCTCTCTCGCTCTCTTTCTCTCTCTCTCTCTCTCTCTCTCTTTTTTTTTAACTGTTGCTTTTCAGTTTGATTTTTACTGCACTTGAGCTAACTGTGGAAGCCCTGGGAGGGAAAAAAGAATAATAACATGGTGATCCATTTTCTAAGTCTGACCTAGATTGTTTTGTCTCTTGTGTTTACGAATTAAGAACATTTGAAAAACAGTCACAATCTGTGAAAACTGGTAAAAAAAGGTGTACATCTGTAAAAGCACCTGGAAGAAAACATGAACGCTTTCAGTCGTATTTAGAACAGGTGGGAGTGGAGCACTTCTGCCCCTTGTGGCCGACATGAGTATTACAACAACAAACACCTGACACTTTTTCTTTCACCTGTTTCACAGATACTTTTTTGTTTAAAGGAACTTAAAATAAGATCCTAGCAAAAACCTATATTCACCTCTACTTAAGCCAACAATTTTAGATCAGACTTAGAAAACGGATCACTACAATTTATTTTTCAAATATATATTCTGTGACACTGCAGTTATACTTCCCCAATAAGTGACCATAATTTGTTTTCATTCATGACTCTGACACACCTAATGTGAAGTATTAATTTTATTTTGGTTAAGCTGATATATCTTGTTGAAGTGCACAATATAAAATAAAAACTTCCTGCGTCTTCAGCGGACACCATATAATTAACAAATTAAGAGCCACACATCATATTGTGTTGTTTTTCTTCTCCATCGGTCTCCATGAAAAGATTGAATTTATGGAGATCATTTCATTATTCAAGGCGATGACATTTATAGCATTTCCTTTTCATTAAAGAGTGGACGTGACAGCGGATGTGGGAGGAAAATAAATAAAGAAAGACGCACCACAAAGGTCAAGAAGCAGATTTGAGAGAAGACGAAGGGAAGTGGGCGATAAAACCTGCTGAGCCACCGGGACGAGTCTGTTCAGCGTCTTCACGACTTCTCGCATCTCAAAGCCGATCTGTCTCCTGAAAAATGCGGTAGACGAAACTGCACTAGGAATTATGATTAGAGGGAAACGTATTTTGTCTTGGATTATCTTTTTATTCCTTAGAAACACCTTTGAATACCTTTAAAGAGAACTTCAAAGAACCAGAAAAGGTTCCTCAAAGAGTCATCACAAACTGGTTCTTCGAGGCACCATTCATGGTTCTTTGAAGAACTTAAAGAAAAAAAAGTTCTCTAAAGAACCTTTTTCAATTCTTTTTTTTTGTGCAAATTTATACCATCCGCCACCAAATAACTCAAACATGAATTAAGAACCCTTTAATACCCCAAAGAACCATATGACAAACAATGTAGAGCCATCCAATAGATCAAATGGTTCTTTAGTGGGTGATGGTTCTTAGTGGAACCACACAGCCTTTTAAAGAACCAGTTAAGAACCATTATTTTTCTGTGTGTAATTGAGAATGCAGTTTAGTTACATGGGAGCTTAATGTTGTAGAAGACAGGCATACCTAAAGGAAGAAGCCATTTTGGAAGTGTGACAATATGTGCATTTAAGTTTAAACTAATCATCTGTGATGAACAGTGTGAACATGACCTCAAGACAATGGAGGCAGGACAGATATGTTTCAATCTGATCCAGAAAATACTTTTCATGCAAACTTTAAGGCTTTTATTTGACTTTAAAGTTGACATGTGTGTGTGTTGACGTGTCGAACTTCTTCCTCAGTGTGTGGATGTCGGATAAAACTGGATAAAGAAGCAGCAGATGTTCTCACTACCTGGAGGATAAAGGGAGAAGATGTGAGAGAGAAGAGTTGTAGGAAAAGATCAATGAACAGTCATAGGAAGAGAAAGGAGATAAGAGATTAAAACTCCTGAACTGTGCCTTCAGTCCAGTTAAAGAGGTTTACTCTCTCTCTCTCTCTGCTATGTGGCGCCCTCTAGTGAACACATCAGGAGACGAACCACCGACACAGTTTGAGCATCTTGACTTTTAGAAACAGAATGTCAGAAAGACCACCAGCTCTCCTACAAACAATAGGACGAGACACAGACTTTAATGTTGTTTAGCCTCTTTATGATGTTGTTTTGTGTCTCTTTGTTGGTAGTTTTGTAGTTGTTTTGGTCTCTTTGTCGACATTTTATGTTTCTTTGTGGTCATTTTATGTCATTGTAGTCTTATTCTGTCCCTTTGTAATCATTTTGTGTCTCTTCTTGTCTCCTCACAGCTGCTTCCCTTTGTAGTTGTTTTGGTCTCTCTGTAGTCTTATTGTGTCTTTTTGTAGTCATTTTGAGTTATTTATCAGTCTTATTGTGTCTCTTTGTGGTTGTTTTGCCCCCTTTCATAGTTGTCTCTTTGAGTGACATTTTGCTTTTGACCCTTTGCCATATTTTTTATTTATTTCCGGTGTTCGTATCAATCAATGACGAATTGCAAAAACTAAACGATAAACTGCTGTCGTCAGATGTAAAGAACAACAATTTTGCTCTGGTTTCATTTCCGGATCAGTTTACATTATGTTTTCACTCCTGCTGTTATGTTGGGAGACATAAAATAAATAAATAAAGATGTCATTTTGTAGGTTGGCACGTATAATTTGGTGTAAAGGTCACAGAAACAGAAAACAAAACAACGCTGACTTGCGGATCAAAACTGGAAGCTACAGCGGTTTTGTGATTATCTCATTAAATGAAGTCCTGTGTGACTGTCACCTCAGAGGCCGCCATCTTAACCCGCCTTCTCCTCGCAGGATTAGACCATCCGTCTTCATCGAGCTGCAGCCTCGTCTGCCTCGGACACGCCGACTAAATCTGAGAGCTTTGCTGGCAGACGCAGAGGCCGTCGTCCTTGTGTCGTCCTGTTACAGGAAGGGGGCCTCTAATCAGCCCTGCAGAGAGGATGCTGGGACACCTGGCAGGGAACCAGGTGAGGAGAGGTAAATGAGACGGGATGCTGCGGAGGTGAGCTGCATGGGATCTTTCATTCATAAGTCATTCACCAACTTGTTTATTAGTTCACACTGTAAGAGCGCCGTACTTTAATCAGTTTGAAAGTAAAAAAACAACAAATAATTACATTTCATTAATTATTTACTCAATAAACAAGTTATTAATTGTGTTTTGAATAAT